AAACAAAGTAGAACACGGTGAGAAAATATAAACATGCTGAAGTTGAGTATTATTAACAGTATAACCAACTGGGATAGGATAACATGTGAGAAGAGACTGTTGAAATAAAAACTTCTGCATATAGTATTTAAATTGTAATTGCTATCAACCATGTACTACATTGATCACCACTAGCCAAGAAATGGATCAGTTTTTGCACTCTTCCTTCTCTGTGAAGCTGCAATATTTTTCAGGCTGTCAAAGTGAGTTCTATTGCTATCCTAAGGGCTAGATACAAAGTCATGTGACTGCTTCAATAAAAATGAACTTATAATGCAAAATGCTATTTTCACTTTATTCCAGTGCATTTTGGAATGTTTTTTGGGCGACTATTATGTTCAACATAATATGTATTGAGCATATCTTTCATTTCCACAAAATTATGTTTTATCATTTCTTGCAAATGGCAGAGGCATTTTTAGCAAAAAGAGTAAAGACCCACTTGACATGTCTTTGCCAAGGAATGTGGAAAATCAGGTCTTCAGAGCCACAGTAGAATTCCATGGGATGGAATGAGTCCACTTTTCAGGTTCTAGTGCACACATCCACACTATCCAGACCTCACACCGAGAATGTGCACCTTCACCATGATATGCCCAACCAAAACTATCCTCAGAAACTATCCATCAGTGACATCCAGTCAACTAAATGGGTAATCCTGGAGGGACCCAAATGACCTTATAATTTTCCCTGAATGAATCCCTCTTTGCCCTGACTGAAGTGAAAGAGAGGAGTATAATTATGCTCTTTTGCTTTTACTATTTGAATTTCTATTTAACTGGTCACAAAGAATGTAGCCCATAACATTCAAACCAATTCTTAAATGTAATTTCTCACCATAAGCACAGACTACAAACCTATATTAGTACAATTTTTGTGCAAAAAAAAAAAAACAGTTACTTGTCCTAGTAGCTGTTGTAACCATAGCTCATTCAAAGTGTAATTTATGCAAAATTGCACTTCTAGGATACATTTTCAGCTATGACCTCTGTCATGGAGATTTGGGCACCCTCTGAAAAGCTGTAACTTGGAGCAAAAAGACCTTTTTTTGCAACACCAAACAATGAAAGTCAAGATCACAACATGGCTCTGCAGGCATAGTTTCCCCTTGTTCCCTGTTGCTAGTCCTACTGAAAGAATAGGCTCAGAGGAAGAGAAGCAGTTTCACATTGTTCATGCATAGAGTTGGCATTCCCAAGGAGCTACAAAGTACCTTCTCATCTATGAAAGTTTGGTGATTACAACCTCGGAGGAGCAGGCTTCAGAACTAGGGGCCAAGACAAAAAAGGATGATAAATCAACATGTGAATGAGAAAAAGGTAGCAGTTTTACAGACTTCTCAGATGTCAAGAATTGCAGTAGTGCCATTTAGAGAGTTATCTTAGAGTAGTAAACAATATCCCCCAAGAACATTCACACCATTCCAAATATTGCTTTGTTCAAATAAGAGCAGCATTGCTTCCCTTAGATTTTGCCCTCCAAGTCTGTGCAGTTATTTTATTAGTGAGTGATCTCTCCTACTGCAGTGATTCAATAGCTTGTTTCAGACAGGTCTGGACTCTATCAAGACATCTGGTCTCATGCAGTCTCAAAATCCTCTAGGCCAAGTGATAACATCCAGTTCTCTATAGCTTATGGCAAAAATACCAGAAGATTCAAAGAAATGATGAAAATCCTGGATGTTCGGTTCGAAAAAGCCAGCCTATTCTCTTGCATGCTCTGACAGTGAGAAAATGTCCCATAGTCCAACATTAACATCAAAAGAGAATTTGTCTTTTAAGTTGGTCATCCAAAGGCTCCCCAGATACTCCAGCAATGGAGTGATCCAAAGGCTAGTTTCCAGCTCAAAAGCCTCTTACATAAATCTTAGGAACTAATTTACTTAGCAAGTCACCACTGCTAGTATTTTTTTTTCCTGTTTAAATTTGTTATTTTGCATGAGTTAGCTTACATATTTGGTTATACACACTAACAGCTATCATCAGTTATGATTTTCATTGACTCCATATGATAACAGAGCAATTTAACAAAGCTTTGCAGGACAAGGGCTGAAAGCAATCTCAGAAAAAAAAATCAGATAGTGAGATTTGGCCTTCGATGTATACAACTTAAGTATATTTCCATCATGGCCTATACTTATTTTAATAACTACTGCTCAGATTTATATGACTAGGAGAGTTTTGTGCTTTAAAGTCTGTTTGCTTTATCAGCTACTTTATCACTTTGATATTTTCACCTTAATATCTTAACAAACTCACCACTACTTTTTCTCTTCACATTTTTCTACTCACACTCTTAACTCTTAGTATTTTGTGTAGGTAGTATTCAACCTTGATTCCTTCTTCTCATGAGTTATTTCTGAGTACCAGTCATTCACGTTACATTATCTCCTCTTGGCCATGCTGATAGAAATGTTTCAAAATATTAATATTCACGTAAGAAAATATAAGTTTCTGCAAACAAAAATATTTAACAACCTTTAATTCTTTTTAAGTTAAAGCTATCTTTTTAAAAAGAAAATAAAATGAAGAATATATGTTTAAAAAACTTTTTTCTTTGACATTTATTGATCAAATTTGACAAGTGGTACTTTGGAATAAAGTGAAGAAAAATAAGGGGGGAGGCTGGAACTGGCAGTTGTGAGCCACCAGAGAAGCTAAGAGAAATTTTCTTCTCTATCATCTCAAGAGAGGACAGCAACCTTTGGATGCAAATTAAACATAAAGGGAATTTATTTAAACAAGAATCCTGGAATTGTGCAAAGTGCACAGAGGGACCTTCTTCCCCCACTACCAGCTGGGGAAATGAAAGACCTGACATGCCCTTTCATACTGATGTTATACTGGAGGACACATATTGGGCCCCAAAAGACATTTTACATTTCCAAAGTTCACTAATACACAAGACGGTGTCCCACCATGGGAAAAGTCATTGTCCACCTTAAACAATACTAGAGCGAGTTCTTGGCAACCTGATAGCTTAAAGTTATGTATATGATTTTCTTATGGAGAAAGCCTCATTGAGGTTGAAGTCAAACTAGGTTTAGAGGGACTAATTCCACCTATTGCTATAAATATTGCTCATTTTTAATTTGCACTCCAGCTGAATGATAGCTACCCTATATTTGTGAGCTTGCTGAAAAGAATTCACCTCTAGCCTTTTCATACTCACTTAAGGACTCTCTCCACCCCAGGGATAGATTTGGATTTGGGTTTTTTTTGGATTACAAAAACATTTGAGAGGTTGATACAGCCTCCTTCACTGAATAAAGGTGAACATGGGCAAACGGAGAGGGTCTCCCTATATTTCCCTTTTTTATGAGAGCTGCTGAGTCTAAGCTGCTGGCATATATTTCACCATATCTCTAATTCTATTACTGCCTTACACAAGCTGTTTATATTTGCTGATTAATGAAACAGTATCATGACTAAACATGTGGCAGCCACAGTAATTAGCAAAGCATCTCCTTCCATTCTTCTAAATGTCATCAAAACACTTGTCAGGAAACAAACTCATTTTCCGTCTCTATTGCCATTTACAGGGTTTCAGGCATTGAAGATAGCTTGTCTGCTTAGTTTAAAAGAGCTCTTGATGATAGAACAAAACCAGACACTGTTTACTTCAGTCTATTATGCCTGCTGCATTCATTGAATGCTTCAGTGGAAAAAAAAATCGAAAGTATTTAATTGTAATGCCAGCTGCTTTTCAAAAAAAGGAAATAAATTTTTGCTTGAGCTCAGAATGTACTCAGTAGGCCCAGAGTGACCCCCACTTCTGATGTCAACAACAAAAGAACCTGCCCGCATTTTCCACAACATTCACAAAACAGCTCAAGAATATTGAAAATCCAAGATTAGTTCCATTTTAGCTTATGTTCTATTTGGTATCCACTAACGTTGGGAGCGTCACAAAAGAGAATGACTGCAATGGCACAGGTTGCATTTAGAAATGAGGTGAGAAAAAATGTTTTTTCAACATAATGTCTCACTAAAAATTACTTGGCAGGACCATTTTACGTCTGGAATAATTATATATGTTTGGTACTTATGGCTGATATCATGATGATTTCCTGTACCACTAATTCATTATTTTATAGCCAGTTTGTTTCAAATGCAATTATCTAAGTATGGCACTAATAATAATATTTTACGCATTCATGATGACAATGTCTATATCATGCAAACTATGTAAACCTGTTGGTATACTGAATGTCAAACTCATATCTTGTCATGAATGTCTTTCTCTTAATATTAATGTTCACATATATTTGTTTCCACAACATATACGAGATTGCATGAGCTTAATCATTGAATTCATTGAACTGCAAGAGAGCCAACTTTGACCTCTTCAGGGAGCTCCTTGGAGGAATCCCCTGGGCCAGGGCCCTAGAAAGAAAAGGGGGTCCAGGAAAGTTGGCTAATATTCGAGCACCACTTTCTCCAAGCTCAGGATTGGGGCATTTCTACAAGAAAGAAGTCGAGCAAGGCAGGCAGGAGACCTACGTGGATAGGTAAGGAGCTCTTGGGAAAACTTAAACAAAAAAGAGAGCATATGTAATGTGGAATAAGGGTCAGATCAGTTGGGAGAAATATAGGAACACTGTCAGAGGAAGGCCAAGGCCCATATGGAATTAGAGTTAGTGAGGGATGTCAGGGACAACAGGAAGGGCTTCTACAAATACATCAGCAGCAAGAGGAAGACTAGGGAAAACATCACTCCAGTCTTCAAAAAGGGCAAGAGGGAGGACCCAGGAAACTACATGCTGGTCAACCTCACCTCTGTCCCTGGAAAGCTGACAGAGCAGCTCATCCTAGAGACCATCTCCAGGCATGTGAAGGAAAAGAAGGTGCTCAGGAGTAGTCAGCATGGATTCACCAAGGGGAAGTCATGTTTGAAGAACAAGATAACCTTCTACGAGGGGGTGACTGGCTGGATGGATGATGGGAGAGCCATGGATGTAGTCTACCTTGACTTCAGCAAGGCTTTTGACGCTCTCTCCCATAACATCCGCATAGGAAAGATCCGGAAGTATGGATTGCACAAGTAGACAGTGGGGTGGATTGAGAACTGGCTGAATGTCAGAGTTCAGAGGGTGGTGATAAATGGGGCCGAGTCTAGTTGAAGACCTGTGACCAGTGGTATCCCGCAGGGGTCATTACTGGGCTGAGTGATGTTGAACTTGTTCATCGATGGCTTGGACGAGGGCACAGAGTGCACCCTCAGAAAGTTTGCAGATGACACCAAACTGGGTGGAGTGGCCGACACTCTAGAGGGCTGTGCTGCCATTCAGAGGGGCCTGGACAGGTTGGAGATTTGGGCAGAGAGGAACCTCATGAGGTTCAACAAGGACAAGTGCAGGGTCCTGCACCTGGGGAGGAATAACCCCAGGCACCAGTAAAGTCTAGGAGTTGACCTGGTGGAAAGTAGCTCTGTGGAGAGGGATTTGGGAGTCCTGGTTGAGAACAAGTTAACCATGAGTCAACAATGTGCCCTCATGGCCAAGAAGGCCAATGGGATCCTGGCCTGCATCAGGAGGAGTGTTGCCAGCAGGTCGAGGGAGGTGATCCTGCCCTTTTACTCAGCTCTGGTGAGGCCGCACCTGGAGTATTGTGTGCAGTTCTGGGCTCCCCAGTACAAGAGGGACATGGAGCTTCTAGAGAGGGTCCAGTGCAGAGAAACAAAGATGATTAAAGGACTGGAGCATTTGTCGTATGAGGAAAGACTAAGCAAGCTGGGCCTGTTTAGTCTGGAGAAGAGAAGATTGAGGGCAGATCTGATCAATAAATATAAATACCTGAGGGGTGAATGTAAAGAGGATGGGGTCAAACTCTTCTCGTTGGTGGCCAGTGACAGGACAAGGGATAATGGGTACAAGTTCCATCTGCATATGAGGAAGAACTTCTTTCCTGTGAGAGTGACGGAGCCCTGGAGCAGGCTGCCCAGAGAGGTTGTGGAGTATCCTTCTCGGGAGATCTTCAAAACCCGCCTGGATGCCACCCTGTACCACGTGCTCTGAGTGTCCCTGCTGGAGCAGGGAGGTTGAACTACATGATCTCTAGAGGTCCCTTCCAACCTCAACCATTCTTTAATTTGGGAAAATATAGAGGAAGAGTGTTTCTAGCCAGGTATGCCAGTGATTTTAATTGCAACATGAAGGAAGAAAACATACAGCCAAAAGGAAAGAGGAGAGGCTAAAGGGGAATGGAAAATTATTACATAAAAAGAGAGATTATCTTAGGTTAGAAATCATAATTTATATAAGTTATGCCATAAATTACAGTTACTAATTTGAGCTTCAGAACATAATGGATAAGACTAATATACATTTCTGTAGCACATTCATCCTGAAATTCTTCAGGTTTTTTGAAAGAACAATAAAATAAGCGATGATTACCTGCTCTATGAGATATATTCTCACCTATCTTTTGCAGATGACAAAGACAACATGCAGTTTTTCCTGATATCTACTTGATGAACTTATATCTAGGTATTTCTCATTGTCATCAATGGAAGCAATGAGCTCTTCTTTAGTGTAACTGAAGGAAGCTAAATGCAGTTCTTGGTCCAAAACACTCTCACACAGAACTTGACTTCTCAGTCAATCATATGGGGAGCCTCAACCCTCTTTAGAGGAGCCTAATGAGATCAGTCCTAAAATTAGATGTCTAGAAAAAAAGGGGAATATTCTCCAAACCATTCTTGTGTAGTGTTGCAGATAAGTCTGTGAAATAAACAGGCATAGAATGAAGCCATTAGACTAAAGCCTAATGGTAAAATGGCTAAAACAATGACATTTATAATTATCTATAATATAGTGAGTGACATTTTCTATAAAGCACATATGGTGTGCTTTATTCAGACAGGTATGACTTTATTCACTAGAGTTTTGCACATAAAAGACTAGGAACCTGCAATTCCGTGCAGTTACACAATTAATGCATCTTGGAAAAAAAAAAAAAAAGACAAAATATTTCTGTGGAGGCCCGCCTCAAGAACAGCAGTACAGGATGCCTTGTTAGCAGATAATCAACCTCAGGGATGGCAGTCCAGGTGTCTTGTTAATTAACCTCAAGGACGGCAGTACAGAACATCTTATCAACAGATAAGGAACAAAGCAAGAAAAAAAAACTGCAACCGCATGGCTGGCACGTGATTAAGAAGCTTATTAGATAATCTTGATGTAATTCTTTAGACTATTGGCTTATTTAACAACTGCACTTCGCGTGCTTTTTGCAAGTAAGGAATTATATCCAGTTTAGTACAGTATATAAGTTTTATCTGATGCTTAATAAAATGTCTTTGGTTCATTATACCAGAGTCCATGTGCATCATATGCTGCAAATGGCATCCAACGTGGGGCATGAATATTAAGGAGGCTCACGAAGTCCGAACCCGGCAGCGCAGCCCAGCCAAACCATAAACAGAGCAAGACGAACTCCGAAGTGCACCCATCACCTAATTACAGGTGAGCGGCTTGGGAACCATGGGACATGGAATGTCTCAAGAGCAGAAACACAGCCTAGATGTGCTGCAGCGCATGATGTGCAAGCAGAATCAGGAAGTCTCTGGAAAAGACTTAGTAACTGTTAGAATGGATCTGGGAGAAGGTGCCTACCTTTCCGAAAGAAGGCACATTCCAGCAAGAGGTATGGGAAGATCTCAGAAAGCGCCTTAAGGAGGCGATGGCAGATGGTGATGCAGCCGCAGTAAAACATGCAACCACCTGGTGGCAGATTATGCTTACCCTGAAGGCAGCAGAGGCCCCTTGGAATGATAAGACTGACCAGAAAGAAACACCACTGCCGTCGGCACTACCGTATGAGGGGGTGCCTGACCCTCTGAGTGATGATCCGTTTGACCCTAGCCCTGTGGACCCAGAGAAGGAACCTGATCTTTATCCGCCAGACCCAGATGACGGGGACATAAGAGGGAATCGGGAGTCGGATCATTGGGAAATGTTTAAGAGAGAGGCAGTCTGGTGGGGGGATTTAGAGATGTTAACAGCCATGCTGGTTGTGTACCGACCAAATGCGCCACCACAGTGGGAGCCACTGCCTTATGAGGCTGTAAAGAATTGCGGAAAGTGGCCAAGGAGAGCGGAATATTATCAACTGTGACTATGACTTTGTTAGAATCTATAGCAGACAGTTATATGTTAACCTCACATGATTGGAAGTCAATATTGCGCATGGTTCTAACTCCTATGAGCTATCGTGTATGGTTAGACGAGTTTAAGGAAATGTCCACATTACAAGCTATGGACAATATCTCTCAGGGTGTGCTGACCTCGTATCAGATGTTAGCTGGGGAAGGCCCTCATGCTGCCCCGCAAATGCAGGCCGGTTATCAGAAGCCAGTATATGAGCAGATTAGGGATTTGGCTTTGCATGCGTTGCGACATATACCAGATGCTGGGCCTGAGACCACCCAATCATTCGCAACAATCACTCAGGGCCCTACAGAGGGTTACTCGGCATTTCTGGATCATCTGCAAAGGGCCTTAGAATGGCAAGTTGCGCATCCAGATGCTCGAGAAATGCTACTGAAACAACTTGCCTATGATAATGCAAACTCAGATTGTAAAAGGGCATTGCAGCCCATGAAGTCTCGAAATCCTTCCATTGCTGACATGATTAGAGCCTGTCAGAGCATCCGTACTGCAGAGCACCGTGCCAATGCACTAGCTATGGCCCTTGCCACACATCTAACGACGCAAAGCCAGATCTCAAATTCAAAAGGGGGAGTTGGGAAGTGTTCTAAATGTGGAGAGGATGGCCACCTTAAGAAAAGTTGTCCTAGAGGGTCAGGGAGTAAGCCAGCCCCAACCCGGTTATGCCCGCACTGTCAGAAAGGACCTCACTGGACTAATGAATGCCAATCTAAGTTTCACGCCAATGGTCAGTCCCTGAGCCCATTGTCGGGAAAGGGGGGGAGGGGGTCGAAGCCACGAGCCCCGAGGACTTAAAGAAATGCGGGCAGGCAGCAAGCAAGCGCTTGGCCAGTACACTCCGGCCAGCCACAAGAGGGAGTGCAGGACTGGATTTGGCCATCTCCCGAGATGTAACTTTGAGTGATACTCAGGTAATGTTAATTCCCACCGGGGTGTTTGGACCCCTGGGGAAAAACCAACAAGTGCTCTTATTAGGACGATCTTCTACAACAAGGATGGGACTGTTTGTGTTACCTGGAGTTATTGATGCTGATTACACAGGGTAAATCCAAATTATAGCTTGGACTC